CCAGCCCCGGGATGGCCCGAGAGGCCGGGGGACACCAGCCCAGTGGGGCTTCCCACCGCTGCGACCTGCTGGAGACCAGTCCCGGCAGGCTGCTGGGGGCCAGGGAGGGCTGCACAACCCTGCTGCTTTGAGAGGATGCAAGCCAAGAAGCCCAAGGCGGATCACCAGCTCCACCAGCCTGGAGCTTCACCTCCCCTCCGCTTTCTATCCTCCCTGCCTCGGTTTTAAGGAATTTAGGTCCTCTTGCCCTCACTGCCGTCCTGCCTGCAGTCCAAGGATTCTGCATGGTGGTCCCCCCAGAGCCATGAGTACCCCTTGCTGAGTCCCACCTCTCCATTTTGGAAGACCTTCCAGAATAGCTCCTGCTCCTCTGGAGCTCACAGCGTGGGCTGCTCAGAGGCTTTTGTGGTCTTCGGTAAGTCTTCCCTGAACCTCACCAAGGACTCTCCTTCCCCTCCACCGCTGCCTTCTCCCTGGGGAAGGCAGAAGGTCTCCTTCCTCCAGGAAGCTCTCCACAGCTTGCTGCCCCTCAGCGCTCCCCTTGAGCAAGCAGCAAGCTTGCATTAGCTGCTATCTTCTACCTCAGTCAACACAGACAGACAAACCCCGCTGTAAGAGGAGGTAAAGCAAAAGTGCAGCTGAACGGGTCCCCGTTAGGACACTCGAACGAAAAGACTCCCTTCCTGCCAGCGTGTCTCCATGGCCAAAAGCAAGAGGATTCAAGCAAAGCCCAGGGAACCTGTCCTCTCGCCTTCCCGGCTTACCTGGGAGCGATACCACGTGGAGCCAGCAGCGTCCACCCCTCGGATGAGCCCTGTCTTGGAGGCATCACGCATGGGTGACTATTTATGATGCCCCAGCATATGCTCCACGTCTTCCTCCTCCACCCCAAGGTCCACCCACTGCATCAGTCACGATCCTTCCCTCTCCCACACAGCTGGTGGCTTAAAAGGAAGGATGACTGTCCTGTCTGAATAAGGCAGCCTCTCCCGACGCTGCGGCTGATCCATCTGTTCAGTTATGCCCCCTTTCACTGGCAGAACCCACGAGTCCACCAGAACATGCGTAACTTCAGATTTTAAGGCTTCTACCACCTCCGCCCTAAATGCTTTGACCACTGCCCGAGTAGCAAACACCGTTTATCCTGGAACGACCTGCGTGACTGCGTAGGGAGAACATTCTCCTCTCTCCTCTGCACCCTGCTCTGAACGCTATCCTTCTGCCACGGGTCCACGTCCTTCACCAAGGGCTTATTCCATTACGTTTCACCTTATTTACTTCATTGCGCAAGAGCTCTGTGTGTGGATGCTGAAAAGTTCAGGTTTGCCTCTTCTCATATTTACCCACAGGAGCAGCACACTAATATTTTAACTACAGCTTCTGAATAAATAGTCTCATGTCTCAGCTGGTTCTTATCTCTTGCCCTTTGTCTCCTTGTAGATGGCCCAGCTTTTCCTCCTGATACTGAACGTACCCCATTACGTGTATATCTCACACCTTGGTGATAACATTGAGAGCAAAAGGTTATTTCTGGATATCTTAATTACTGCAAGTCATCAGACACATTTCGAAGTCCCACCCGGGGTGCCCATGGCTGGCAGCTAACGTGCAATGGGGAAGCTCCTCTTCTGTCCCCACAGAGAAGGTCTGACGGTAGCAGCTCCAAGGCAGGAACAGGACCAGGAGAACATGACCTCCATGTCTGAAAACAGGAGACAGGGAAGCTGTAGTACAAAAAATGGCAAAAATGGGGCAGTTTTCCTGGCAGAGGAGTTGCAGGCAGCACAAGCACAGAGGAGAATTGCTCATGGGCTGTGCAGGCGAAAGGAAGAATCTCCTGAAAGGAGAGTCTGGAGAACGTTCATATTCCTCGTGCACTCATCATGAGGACCTCAGCTGCTTGGGACGTGGGCTTCCCCATCTGCAACAGCCACAGGAGACGAAGCGTAAGGGCAGCTTCTCACAGCCCTGACACAGACTTGCTCTGAAATTAAAAAAAAGCAACTAGAATACTACCTTTTAGTTTATAACCCAAATGGCTCTCCCTAGGGTAACGCACACGCGTAGCGTTTGCCAACACGTTTCAAAGTGGCTTTTCTTGCTTTCAAATCAATGAGTGTGGGACTGTGGAGAACGTAAAACCTGCTCTAAGTACAGAGTGCTACTGTCAGTTGGAAGAAACAGAAAATGGAGTTGAAGGCCTTGAGTGCCACATGGAAAAAGATGAATGGGTAAGGCTGGGTTACATCAGCCAATTCCGTTTTTCTAAGAAAAATAAGCTGAGAGGAACAGATTATCTGAATAATGGCAGTTCCTCTGAAAGGCAAATCAGAGTTTGCACCAGCACGTAAATCCCGGTTTTATTCTTAAATAACATGAGTCGATCTCTAAAAAGGAGACAGCGGCCAAGGCGAAAGGTGTAGGACATGCAGGACAGCAGACGGCTGAGAAAAATCCAATTTTTCCTTCCTCTCTTTTTTTACTTAGAAAGAGAGGAAGCGTTTTTCACTCCACTGGAAGAAAATGTGTTGCAACCTCATCTTGTGCCCTTTTCTACGTCACGGCAATCTGAGCTTCCTACGTTGCCACACACATGATCCGGCCAATCATCTCCCACAGAAAACCCCATGCCATTCAGCGTGAAGTGTCAGGGTGAATCTTTTCCCCAGGATCACTGACCTTCCCCTTACACCCACTCCAGCCCAAGTCCATAACAGTAAAAATAATAATAAAAGGCTAATTTTAGCCTTGCACATCTTCCCAAGCACCGTCAGCAGCTGCGTGCCTCCCTTTCTCGTGTGAGAACTTCATTATGAAAGCGTCAGCACGGCAATTACAGACAAGAAACTTGCTTCCAAGCCACCCAGCCGCGGTGCTGCCAAACGTGGTCCCCCGCAAAGCGATTCTGGCGCGGCAAGGTCCTCCTGCCAACTCCTTCTCCGACGCCAGATCACAGCTGGAGACACACCGGCTGCTTTCATCCCAGTCGGTTCATGTTGCTTTGTCCCGTCACACTCTGCCTCTCCAGTCCGCGGTTTGCAGGTCACGTTCAGTGATGGCTCTTTCTGAACTTCAAGGTCTGCGAGTTTTTCATAGCCACTGCGCCTGCTCTCTTAACCATGCTCCCCTGCGCTTTGCTTCCCCAGACTCCTCCGGGGCTGTTGAAATTGCATGGCAGGTTGGGTTTCAAGAGTGGTTCGGCTTCAAGGAGAATCAAGGAGGCTGAGTTTTCATCAGCAAGATCAAATCATGCTGTGCCAACCTGAAGACCTCCTCAGTCCTGCCCAGAGGATGCTCAGCACGATTCAGTGCTCTCTCCCCGTCCTCGCAGTAACACTGCAGATCTGTTTCTGCCACTAGCTAACATGTCTCTGCACTCAGGTGTGGGCACGTCTGCTGCCAACAGCGATCCCCTTCAACAAGCCCTGTGTGGAGTTTGGGGCTAGAACTCAGACTGAAGAAGAAATACGACACGATGCTGCTAGACAAGATGGCATTTGTTTTAGCTCCCTTATGGATTTCATCTGATTTAACACTTCAGATGAGATAAACCACCCCAGTTAAAAGCTGGAAGGAGCCTGCAGAAAGAAAAAATGAACAGATTAAAAACAAGAGGCATCTTGAGTCTATCCTGCAATTCCTTAACCTGCAGACTGTGATGAAAAAATATTTCCAACTCAGTTGGAACAGGAAATATTTTCCTAAGCTGCACGAAGCGATCAGGCTGTTTTCCAGCCTTGAGAGGCGCACAAGCAAGTCTTCATCACAGAAACTGGAATTGTCCAGTTAACATAGTGAGAGGAAGACATGCACACGCCGAAAACTAAAGAGAAAGTCACTTCCAAGATACCCCTGGAAAGGCAGCTAGAGCAACAGCCTTCTCCGGGGCTCCCCTGGAGGTCAGCGTCTCCCAGGAGGACAACCACTGAATTCGGACCACCTCCCTTGAGAAAGCTTTGGGCTTGGATAAGCCGAGCCAAGCGCATTTGCCCTCCTCTCCGAGGCATGCTGGAAACGAGTCACGATGAACGAACGCTGGCTGAAGTTTTTAGCGTGACTGTTGGCACAGTCACCCTATTCCATAACTGTTTGGAGAGTTCAGATGGGGCAAGACTAAGACATTGGCTGAAGGTACCGATCCAGAGGAGACCTACCTAGTCAGGAACACGAGGATGACCTGAGATCAGTTTCTTAAGCTTTTGTTTCCCCACTGTCCAGAAGGGAATCTGCTCATTTGCATTTCATGTGAGGCCACTACAGGAACATCCCAAGGAGCCCAAAAGACAACTGCAAAAGTTAGAGGCTCTGCCTTGACAACATCTGTACCAGGACGACATCGATGGTTCAGAACAGAAAGTCACATTTTCTCTGCTCTTCCACTGGGAAGGATGGAAAATCCTAGCCCTGCCTCTTTTATTTCATTTACATGAGGGTATTTCTCTTGTCAAGGTACCAGAAGTTTGTCTCACAAGATTTTGTAACCACTAGAATAGGCTGAAGCTTTCCTGGGTTAGGAAGCAAGCAGCTCGCTGTAATCAGCGCTTCTTGTCAGCCGGAACTCGATGCTTTCTACTGAAGTCCGTTACCTGGTTGTATTTATTACCAGACACCATATTGCAAACGGGCTTAAAATTCAGGCAATCCCTGTCCTTGCTGGGAGGGCAGACCTGGAGCTAGCACATAAAATAACAAACACTTGGGCTTTATCAGCTGAGCTGCAGCTCCTGCTACTTCTTTTGTAAAGAAACTCAAGGCCAGCGAAAGCGGCTACAGCCAGGATAGGAAAACCATAAACTTCCCAGAGGTTCAACAGAAGCTGTGGCTCTCAGACCTATTCTGCCAAGTTGGGATTCACAGACGAGGGGCCAAAGGAAAAAGAAAAGCACCCAACCTGACAATTTTACAAAAGGGTAAGATAACACACATATAGGGAACTCAGCTTGATTTTCTTTCCTTCTGCCCAAATAACCTCAAGGAAAAACTCAGAAACTCTCCATATAATGTAAGGACAGACTTTCAGAACTAAACCAACAAAAATACCCCAAACCCAAAAAGCAAGAGATGAAGGAAGCTAGTGAAAACAGTTTGTTTTATTTCCAGGATCAAATATTACAATAGGACATTTACACATATTTATAAAAAAATGCAGCAGTTATGTATATAGATCAGAGGTTTCCTTGAGTTTGGTCCCTCCCAGCACCGTGAACTGAAATCGTCCGAATTAGTCCTCTCCCTCCTCCCACGTGAAGTCGCCATCACTGAAGAAATATCTGACTACCGTAAAAAACGACAGGCAAAGTCATAATTTTGAAACTGTTAGTTCACCAATTAGAGGAAACAGCCTCATTTTTAAAAATCATCTATCCTATAGTCTGGTGCCCCTCATGAGGCCCAACGTCTCTGAGTTTTACCCAGATGTTCTTCATATAAATCTGTTCTATAAAATAGCACTTTGTCCCCCTGCTCCAAGTACTTTTACTATCTATCCTTCTATACCTTAAACTCTCAGCACCGTTTAACAAGCAGTTACAAAATGACTTTTCTGTGTACTGCAGACACTCACAGTAATTAAAGACAGTGACCAAATCCCAAACTTCTGCACTCACTCATAATATACCCATGTAAAACGACAGAAGATAAGACTGAGGCAAGTCGAGGCACGGATGTTGTGCCGCATTCTACCATTAAAAACACGTGTGTTTGTGTGTGTGTATGTATGTATATACATATGGCTATATTTATTGGGAGTGACACTAATTTATTAGGAGACACTAAGCATCCCTCAGACAAGAGGAGACTGTAGTAAAAGTCATCCTGTACAACAACGCAGAAAGGGTATCCATTAACCTTGCCAGTCCAGGAGCAGATACCAAAGCAGAGTATAACCAAACTGCACGAGGATCTTGGGCTCGGACAGAGAAAACCTCCACAAGACTGTCTCTGCAGAATGTAACCAACAGACCTCAACAACCAGTCGTCAAACGTGTTCAGATCAACTCCAAACATGCGACTGTGGGTACTTCCAACACCGCACATGGCCAGTATAGGGCTCCAAACATGAATTTTGTTTTGCTGTTTTGCCTTTAAACAAGTGGCTCTTCCATTTACAGAAAGTAATTTCTGAAAGGAGTAACATTTATTAAAAACTAAGGAGGGATAAAAAACAAGTGCTAAGTCCCTGAAATGACACGCGTCTTCCCATTCACACGGACATTCCCATGCAGGTGCCTGTTCTCTATTTCTACGTGGTTTAGAAAGACAACCACAAACACCACATTTTATGCATCTCCGCAGCGTTTGGTACCCAATGAAACGCAGCGCAAGCGATGCCTTGCCCCCCAAAAGAAAAACTGCTTTTAGTTTAGCCCTTGTTGCTCTTGAGTTCCTGCAAACAAGCTCAGTGCTCCACCAAGAGCAGAAATTTGAGAAATCAGGCCCTTCAGCAGTGAGGTTTATTTATTAAAACACGTACTAAAACCAGCTGCCAGTTTCTGCAAGGGTACAAACCACAGCACCAGTAAAAGAGGAAGCTGGCATAAGCTGATTTAGATGAGCATATAAATTCGGTAGTCTTTAAAAAAAATGCATCTATGAAAGTAGTGGACCACATGAAACACAACCTGTTTGCAGCACCGACGTGCTTTACAGACGGGAGATGTTATTCTCCTGCAGGAGCAAGGCAGCAGACCTAGTGAGCTCTGGAAAGTATGTTGAAGTAAAATTGCTGTTTAAATCCACTTAGGAACAATGGTACCCTTGGATGCCTTTTTACAGACAACTATATTTTACAAGGCTGTTATGCACATACATGGCCATTCCTTTAATACTCGTGCTGTCAACTTATCCAATTTATCAGGAAGGGCAACATACTTCAGCCCATGAACACGAGAAATGTAAAAATTCAAAGCCTAACCAAAATTATGCCCAGAAACGTTTGGCATGGCCTTTAACGGCTCTTTTTACGTCCGTAGGGAATGCTGTGAGGTTGAAGCCGGTCAATCAGCTTGACTTAGAGCACATATCACCAAGAAGACCTGAAATCCTTCTCTGGGCCTCTGAAAGATCACATGTGGGAAGCCAGCAGTAAATGTGTCAGAAGCACCTGGCAGGGGAAAGCAGCACTCATTTTGCCTTCTGTTTGTGAATATTGGTTGTGACTGATACTACTAGCTGCAATTAGACATTAAATATGAAAACAAAGCACTGTTAGATGAAGAGCAGCACATGCAAAGGAAACTTCTCCACGTTAGCTCTGTTTCGTCCTCTACCTGGAAAGACTTCCACTGGCCACATGCACTTCTGCTCCTCCAAACTCACAACAGTCCTTGCAACACAACACGCAAATTATGGCCAAGCAACACCCATAGGAAGCTACAAACCACAGCCTTTGAAGGATTGTTTTCCTTTGTCCTTCATATTTCAACATCTTATTTTGCAACCAGAAGTTTAAGGCATTTTTTTTCCAAACTTGTCAAAAGCAATCTGAACTTAGAAGCAATTGTGACAAAGGCTCTTTATAAATAGAGCCCAACTAGCTTATACCTTCACTCTCCAAGCTGTCGCAGGCAGAACTCGAAGTTTTCAGCCACGTTCCTCCAAACTCCAAAGGGCTTCAGTATGAATAAAGGCCTGGTTGGTGCTGTTTCTTAACAGCTTTCTGCCACCACAGCACAGCTGATGTACGCGTGTGCTGCAGCACTGGTTTTATTTGGGTTGGGAAGAAGGGGGAAAGAGAGGAGAAGAATGAAGGCAGAGAAGAGCCACATGCAGGGACGTATATTTCTTGATTTTTTTTTTCCCTGCCTCCTGCTCCCAGACCAAAGCAAAAGAAAACTGAAAGAAAAAATACATTGTGCCAGAGAAACAAAACAAAATGAACAGGCTTGTAATTTCTTGGAACAGAACAAACTACTAGGAACTGCAAAACGGAAGAAAAATCCCCTTTTTAATATAAATCTTCAATTTCTCATTCTTAACTCCCTGACAGGTTATAAAAAGATTAATCTTTTTCTAAATAAAGCCTCAAGAAAGAAAAAATTAAGTGAGCGCTACCACTACACCAGCAGGAAAAGCCACTTACCAGGCTTAAGAGGCATGTTTCTCGATGGTTTAAAAATAAACCTGCTGCAGCCAAGTGCAACGCTGGCTTCCTTGTGAGAGAGGTTACCGAGTGTAACAAAACCAATGCAAAGCTAACTAACCTAGGGCTCCCAGTTTTGTTTTGGATAGCAAGATGATGAGTGTAAAGTTACTCCTTCGCTTACAGCTGAGCAAAGAAGAAAGGAAGGCGTTGTCAGCTGCCCGCCGCCCTGCAGCTGACTTGCTTTGCTCTGAAAGAAGGGGTGAGAAAGGAAGGTTTGCAGTACGGGACCACAGTCTCTCCAGCAGCAGAACTGATGGAAGTTTCATGCTGCTGTCTGCAATGTAGTTTCCCCTCTGCCCTACTGCTGATACAGCTGTTGGTTATTTTATATGAGATTGCTTCAACAAATCCCAGCCTAGCCCCACGCACATTAGTACAACCAGGGAGGGGCAGGGGGGAAGAAGAGAAGCTACCGATAAAACAGACCTAGGACTGAAAAGGCAGAATCAACTCTGTGTGGTTAACTTACCTGTTAGAGAAGTTAATGTGGAACAATGCTCCCAGAGCAGATACAAACTCAAGCCTGTCCAAAACGAGCTGCCCCTCCACCAGCAAACACAGCCAACGAGCAGCAGCTCAAAAGCAGAATTGGTGGAACCACAAAGGCTCCCTGCCTCACGCTGGCAGAACAGGCAGGAGAGCAGGAAAGGTCAATATGCTCCCATGCCAGCCTGCCTAAGGGAGATGAAAGGATTATCCATACGCATGAGTAACTCACCACACCGCAACCCAACTCCTTCCCACACCCCAAGATTTCACAGAGCACTAGATAACTGAACCCTTGAGAAGGCTGTAAGGTTAATGGAGACCTTTCATGTAGGGAATCAAAACAAACGGAAGACTGTACTGAAGATTACACCCTCCCCTTACAGAGAGATGACTCAGTGCCTTATCACACACTATTTTAAAAAATAAATTAAATGAAACAGATTTAAGAACAGCAGCGAGAAGAGTATGTGTATTATGGCCACTCCAAGCCCCAGCATACTAGATACACAGATCACCGTTTTACTTTTTTCCATGAAAACAAAGGAGAGATGTTCTTCCCAATGCTCTCCGCAGGGTCCAGGCTGAGGAAGAAAACACAACTCTGAACACTCTCATTTGGTCACTATAGCAGGAGAAGGGAAGAAGAGAGAGAAGGACCAGTCAGCTGCCTGCCTGATTTCAGCACTGCAATCCTATGACTCTCAACTGCATATTTAACGAGTTGGTGTCCCAGGCAAAGAGGAGAGGGGAGGAAGGCTGGGAGAACTCAGGCCACGGTGCTAATTCCTTTCCTGCACAAAGACAGTCTCTTGAGGACACAGGCCTGCCTCCTGTAACGTGATCTCATAGTCCATGTGGGAGAGTCTCCTTCGAGGGAAGTTGGTGAGAAGTTCAAAGCGTTCATTGGGGTATCCTTTTGCCTGGACATGTCTCACAAGAGCCTGGAGAGAAGGAAAGGCAAAGAAGTGTCATATAATTCAGAATAACACAAAAGAATATATATATTAAAAAAATCCTGTTTTCCTTTAAAAAGGAAGTTTGTAACAGCAGACAAAGGAAATTCTGAACTTTTTCATATAGTATAGACCCTCTTTTAATTTAATATCTAATTTGGCCCAGACATGGTATGAATAATCATAAAAACTAATTACCAAGTGATCCCTTACCTAACTGATTCTTTAAACAGAATGAAGACATACATAATAGTATACTAATTCAAGCAAGCTGAATTTCACATCACACATTCAAATCACGGTAAAGATTTGCAAAAAAATCCTAAAAAAATCCTAAATGCCCCAAAACAGAAGCCCCCTCACTTATCAGATATTACCCTTACATTAAACGTAAAAACCACCAAAGAAGCATTTTTGTCAGGTAACACTGAGAAAAAGAAATGCAGTATTTTTACTAAAAAATTAATTTTTTTCCTGCCTCCAAGAAGCATAAGGTTTTGGTTTTGTTTTGTTTTGTTTTGTTTTTTAAAGCTCTTTTCAATTCATTGCCTTCTCTGCCTACCATAGCAATTGGGGCAGAATACAGAGGGCACCGGGATGAAGCGGTATCAGCCTCACATCTCAACAAGCAGATATATCAAGAAGAGCTGATGTCCACACCACAGTGAGAGACATTTCCCAAGTTCACCAGAAAACACAGCAGATGAGAACGTAAAGTACAAATAAACAGGGATAGCAAAATGGAGATTGACAGAACAGTAGAGCAGAATAAAAAGTCACAGATTTTTAAAGAGGGGAAAAAAGACAGTTAGTATGTAGTAAAACGGAGAGTATGAAAAAGTAAGGGGGTCCCAACAATACTGTTCACATAGTTTTGGTGGGCAACTTATGGCAGTAAACTAAATGGAAGGAGTAAGCTAGCAGTATTAAGCTTCTACTAGTACTAATTATTCCACTAGCTTCCCCTCGCTATTTCGCTGCCGCTTTGGGATGACAGCAACCCAGCACACAGAAAAACATGGTCACTAACAAGCCCTTGGCAGTTACTGCTGCAGCTCACGGGCAAGGGGCTCAGGAGATCCCTTGGGTGGCTGTTCATTTTCGTGTTTGTGTGCCAGCAGGAAAGCTGTCGGTCACACGGTGCTGAACTGACACAGGATGCAGTCTCCAATAACAGCCTGCAGCACTCTCCCTAATGTTTCAGGGGCATCACTGCAGATGGAGCACGAGGTTAAGGAGCTGCAGGAAGAGGTCAGGATGTTCCGCTGCATCAGGGAAGATGAGCAGGAAAGCAGTAGGATGCCGGCAGCAACATTGCAAGGGCAAGAACTGAGGCCTCACAGTGCAGACAGAATGGGATGACCAGAAGCAAGACTCAAACACAGGAACGACAGCAACTTGCAAGACAAGGCACCCTGAAGACCTGTGGCAGTGAAACAGCAGCTCTCCCATTACTTGGGGGTAGGGGGAACATCAGTTGAAAGAACTGTATAAAGTCTTGGTAATAAATGGGGAGGACAAACAAGTTCCACCAGAAAACACAACTGGACCCACTGGTCCTACTCAGCAGGGAGAAGCAGTGCATGCTGGTGGAGGGGAGTCCTTCTGCGGCGGACTGAGGCACCCAACTGCTGACCTGAGTCTTGGAAGCCTGCTCCTTGCCCAGAGCCAAGATCCTGGATGTCACGCAGAGATTGTCAAGACTCATCAGGAAAGCTCAACACATGTCTGTGGTGCACCCTTGCAGCAGTGACAGCAAACCTGGGCTGCATCAACAAGAGTATTGACAGCAGATCAAGGGATGCGATTACACCACTCTGCTGCACCACGCTTGGAATACTGTGTTCTGTTTCGGTCTCTTCATATTCAAGAGGGAGAAGGAAAAAACGGAGAGGATGCAGCGGAGGGCCATCAAAATGACTGGAGTATAGGACCCGCCTCGGTACATGAAGAAAGGCTGAAGGACTTCAGTTTCTTCAGCCTAGAAAGCAAAAGGCTTGGTGGAAATATCATCACAGTATTCCAGTATAGAGAAGATAAAGGCATTTCTTTCACAGAGATGCACAGTGACAAGAGACAACACACATAAGATGCTCCAGTGGAAGTTTCACCTGGATATAAGGAAGGAATTCTCTACAGCAAGAGAAATCAAACTTCAAAGTAAGTTGCCCAGAGAAGTGGTGGAATGTCCCTTGGTGGAAGTACTCTAGAGTCAGTTTGAGGGCCCTAGACAACCTCGTCTACAGCCCTGCTTTCAACAGGGGGCTAGACCAGATGATCTCCAGGGATTCTTTTCAACGTGGACTTTTCCAAGATTTGATGACTGCAGAACAGCCAGGGAAGCACATACACGGAGTGTTCTTCTGAATTCATCAAAATCTACACACAAACCTGTGATAGGAGGAGAGTGTCACTCCAATCTCCTCTTTTACCGGGACTGTTCTCCAACAGGCTTTGCAGATTACAATGCCTATGTCTGATAAGGAATGCAAGTAAGTGGGTTTGACTTCCTTTTCAAGGACCAAGGATGATCAAAATTTCTTTACAAACCACCATATTTAAAAATCCAGTTATGTTTACTGCCCACATCTCCCCCCTGCCCCATTTAAAGGCCAGCCTTTCCTGCACACCTTACAACACTTGACAGACAACAAAAGTTATTCAGGCAGCCAGTCAGCAATGCAGGCGAAGGGCTGAGCTGCTGAACAGAGTGAAGTCAGCCACTCAATTGCACACAAAGAGCAATCGCTTTTATAAAAAGGCAGTGTTGCCTTTTCTCTTTTGCCTAGGTGGAAAAGCTAAATTACGGTAATATTGGAAGCATAAGCACATCCTGAAGATCATGGTGTGTAAAGAAGCTACTCTTGATTGATAACAACGCAATGATTAAAAAAAAAAAGTTTTAAAAAACAGCCAGTGTTGGGGGGAGAGCAACATCGTCTCATCAGTTAAAACTTCTTTTTATAGTTCCGGACAGCTTTAAAATGGAAGCAACTAAGGGCTGAAAAAAATCAGCATGGAAATGATGCTCAGAAACATCTGAGACTCAATCTTGATCTGACTGAAACGGCTTTAAAAGATCACATGACATGAGCACAAAAGCTGCCTGCTCATCTCTGCAATAGAAAGATCTCTTTACCCACAAACCTTGACTCACCTAAATTCCTCTGCTGACTGTAGAGCAGGCGGCAGCTAAGGAAATCACATGCCGAGATCAACTTCCTTTAACTACTGCAGTCCATAAAAGGAGTCAAACCAGAAGTCAGGATTATCAGGAATGTATCAGTATTAGACCTATGTAGCACCTAAATAAATTAATTAAGTATTCAAAAGTGCCACATGCTGTGGGACACTGACTTGTCCAGACTTCTTAGTGCCCAATACAGAAATCACTTTAAGTCAGCAGGGAGTAGCGGGGCTTGACTTGAGCAACGTGCTTAGCTTGCAGCTTGACTTGTTTATCTTGCAAGACTTGTGCTTATCTTGCAAAACAGATGTAACGGGTTGTGGTCTAGCACTCAAATTGACTGAGTGACATCTGGGACGAGGTGAAGGCCTCGCAGCCTGATGTTGCTTCAGCAAAACCAGAAAGACCCCCCTATATCTGTACCAAATTCCCCACCCCCGTGCTGAACTGTCGAGCCCTGTCAAATTTCCTTAATTAGTAACCCTTGCTAAGGGCCAGTCGGCACACAATAATTGACTTAGTCCCACCTCACCAAGAGTATAAACCTGGCATTTAGAATCCTGTTTTCAGGACGAGAACTCCAACTAACCAGATGGGTCGATAGGCCTGCACCCCTCTCCTCCCCAAGCAGAGACACCTCTTTGGTAAGATTCGTGCCTCCGACTATGCTGGACGATACCCGGGGAAATCATTAATATTGCTTAATTAATTACTCGCTAGCCTCAAGACATTTAGTGCTAAATGCAGCAAGTGAATTTATCAATGGCAATTGCGAGTTTGTTGTATCTGTCGCCTTAATAAATCTTTTATCTGCTCAGCTTTGCAAAACTGACTCAGTGGAAGTCCTTGAGAGGGCTCTGATGGGCAAACGTGGGCTCTGAGAAGTGGCTACGCACGCACACTCCTTTAGGCATAAACTGCTGACCAAGTCTGTGACTGAGACTGGATCCAGCCGCACTTGGACTGCTCTCTGAGGAGGAGTTTAGAAAGCAAGGGAGCGCTTTCTGAACCTCATGACTCAATGGGAGGGCCCCCCCGTCACACGTCAGACCTATACTCCTAATGCAACACATGTTTAATAATGCACACAATTTAACAGCAGTTGAGATATAAATTCAAAAAGCAGTCAAGATACAAAAGAGTACTTGGAAAAAGATTATACATCAATGATTGCTACGACAATACAAGAATGAAGGTGTGAAAGTAAAGCTGGTTCCTACAGTAAGAGTGATGCTCTGCCAGAGTTCCCCATTCCTCATATTTCAGCAGTGCACAACCTACTGCTTACAGTTGGTTTTGAGAGAGATGATGGTATAACAAAAGCAACTTTTGTTTTTTCCTTTTATTTTCAACCAAAAGAGTTAAGGATGAGAATATGAGCTTGAGACACTCTACATTTCTAGAGTGCTGCAGACTAGGTCATAGTCTCATTTTCTGTAAGAGATGTGACACTTTTCCTCTAAATCTACCCAAGACCCTTCTGAAGAAGCGTGCTTTTGCCTTCCCTAAGACTTCAATACAGAACTTCTACACTGATTACATTAAAATGAGCTTAACTGGCCACCGTGTCATGAAAAGTCACAGCTAGCAGGAACACAGTGTCCTCTTGAAACACCGTTTCCAGATAAGCACCTGAAAAAATCTGATGGAAATGCCATCGACATCATCTTCTCCAAGGTAAACAAGCCCAAAGCATAGTTGAGGTGCACAGCTGAAGCACAGTAATTAAATAATATTGTAACAAATTTGTTTTGGGAGAACTTCCTCCGAAGTCTGCTCTGTCATCCACATCCAGAAGGGAGTGTGGAAGTATGATGAAAGAGATGGAGAACAAGAACCAAGAGGCTGGCCTTTGATTTTGCTGTTGTCTGACCATGGGCAACAACTGAACTTTTCGGGGGGGGG